GAATTCTCATTTAAGGTGATCTCTTATCTCCTCCCGGGCCTGGAAAGGTTTCTTCTTAGGCCTACTCTTCTGCAGATGTTTGAATTTTTTGATGATCTTCAAGGCTTCCATTCATTTGTGAAAACTTTTTTTGTTTTATGGTGATTTGTTGCACATTTTACTTTCTTTGGCGGGAAAGGATTGACAATCAGTTTAGAGTTGTTGACTGCTCTATTCAAAGAACGATTAGTAAGATCTCTTATACTATTAATGTTAAAGTTTCAAGATGGAAAAACTTTGAGATTCTGCATTCTTCATTCCCGCCGTGCATCAGGTTTAGATTGTAATTTATGGGATTCTTGGATCTTCCTTGTGCCTTTTTTGTGTGGTGCTTCTCTAGCATTTTTATTATGGGAACTCCAGACAATGATGAGTGGAACTGATATTCTCCCTCGGATGGCCTTGTAGCATATTCTTGTTTCCAGTCTGGCCTGGCAACTCCCTCATGTTGCACCCACTGGAATTTTTGGTCTTGCTTCTTTGGCAAACTGGGGTGATAACTTTTGCTAGTTTTTGTATGGACTTCATTTTGTGACTGCCTAGTATAATCTTGTATTCATACCCGTGTGTGTTGGTTCTTGATTATTCTGACTCTAGTTTGTGGCTGGATTGCCCCCCTTGCTATGGCCTTTTGATTTTTTGTCTCTTTTTGTTCAGCTTCGCTTATACTTTTTTTTTGAATAAAATGCCAATATCATTAAAATGAAAAGAGAAGGTTACAACCTAATGGATCTTATCCAATCCATCACATTCCTCCTTTAACAATGATAAAAACGAAGGAGGAGTATCACTACAAGAAATATAATCCCAAATAAAATTTGTAAATAAAGTAAAGTTAGCACAAAGGTCGGCTAACTTATTATAATTTATATTAGAAAAACTAAAAATAATTTGATTAAAATCCTTAAGAAAAGCAAACTAACTATCCGACAAATAGTTGCACCTTCAAACGAACTTTGAATGGATTTAATAACATTGTAATTGTCTCCTTCAATGATTAATCCTTTAGCTTCACGCATCCAATTTTGAATGACCTTTTCCAGTGAAAGTATAGCCATTAATTCCACTTAAGCTACATTACAATGAAGTCCCATAAAGTCAAAAACCAACAGAAACCTTCCTTTATGATCTCTAAAGACCCCACCAATACCAGCTCTATTAGATCTTAAGAGAGAAGCATCAATATTCACTTTTATCCATTCGGGTGGAGAAGGATGCCAAGAAACAGTAGACAGTTGAACAAGCTAATTAGCATCCTAGTATTCTAAATGAATATAAGTTAGAGTGGATACCGAAGCAAAGTACACAACATTTGTCTCAATCATCATCACATTATCTTCTTTTTCTCCATGTATAAGTTTATTCCTGCTCTTCCAAGAAAGAAAAACTATTGAACAGTATAAATTCCCCATAAAAGGATTCATTAAAGAAAAATCTTTTAGCTTATTAATGAAATTACTAGATGCACCTAGAAGGGGGGTGGGTGAATTATGAAAATTGATGCAATAAAAAATCCTAAATAGGAGTTCTAATATATATATTTTTTGTGTTTTTAAATTTTAAACATAAAAATTTAATGCGGAAGAAAGCACTTGAACTCAATTTGCAACAACGAATTTTACCACGATTTTCACCAAGCAAATATAATTTTACACCAGAGATTTTATAATGGTTCGGTCACTTGACCTACGTCCACTCCCCAGAGTCCTCCACTCCGGGAATTTCACTACTAAACAATAGTTCTCCTTTTACCGCTTGGCAAAGCGGAGAAGCCCTTACAAGACTCACTTTCACCAACCCGGTGTAGCAGAGTGCCAAAGCGCTTTGTCACCCTCCTAGCGACGATAGCGTACCTTCTCGTTTTTCTCCCTCCTGGAGAAGGCAGAGTACCTTCTTATTTTTCTCCCTCTTGGAGAAGGCAGAGTACCTTAGAGGACACGGATGTAAAAGAGTCTCCCCCTCAAAGAACCTCCCACAAGATCTTCTGAGGAAATAAGAGGAACAAAGTGTAGCAAGAACGGAGCAGCCGTGTGATCTCCCTCACACTACTTCTCCCTCACCAAGCCCACCTTCTCCTTCCTCTCTCAAACCCTAAAATCTTCTCTAGAGCTCACTCTCAAGGAAACACTCTCTAATCACGTTCCCCACTCACAGTCACACACCAAAAACATAACTTTTTGATACTTAAAACGGGCTCCAAAAAACCCTAAAATTTCAAATTAACCGTTACTATCGTACAGTACGATCCAACATCGTACAGTACGAGTAGTATAAAAATAGCCTTCATCCTGGTACGAAGGTTTACGAACAGGCCAAAAATTCTGAATAAAATTGTATAGTATGATTTAAACTCGTACGGTACGATATGAAAAATTATACTGTTCGTACAGGATGATTGCCGGGACGATCGAAACTCATCTCTGTACATCGTAGGGTACGACCTACTTCGTACAATATAATTAGTCAAAATCAAGGGATCATCCAGTACAACGTCCAGGACAATCGAAAATAGCCTCGGTTGATCGTACCGTACAATGTTCTTCATACAGTACGATTAGTAACACATCGTACAGTATGATATAAATCATACAATATGACCTGTTCATAGAAAGACGTTTCAGCCAGATCAGATTGTACAATATAATTTAAACTTGTACATTATGATCAATAGAAAAAAAAATCTACTTTTCTTAAAAACTTCTCCCCTTGTGTGTGTGCATGGTTGCTCAGACTTATATGCAATTTGTGGCTAGACTAAAAAAAAAATGAAAAATTACAAAGTTATAAACTCACACTCCAACTTTACCCAATCTTGAGTCTTCTTGTAGTCCCTAGTAAGTTGTGATCTCCCTGAAATGTTAGTACTCACAGACAATAGCAGAAATCAAAGATATTTAATGAATAGTAATTCAGATGACATTATTTTTCATCATCAAAATCTTAAACTACGGGTCATTGATTGCAACAATTAATACAATCAAATAATGATGAAGAAATACGCACTTGAAAGCCCCATTTATTAAGAAGTTTAATAATAAGAATCAATAGAGGACAAGCAGTCGCAAAATGATTTCCATCTTTAATCACCCACAACCTCTCGGGTAATATAGCTTATCCGAAAGCCTCCTATAATATAAAAAAACCAAACGTTGGGAATGCACCTAAAGCATTTGCCACCAAAACAAATCCACATGATGTAGAAGTTTAAGATTTCTCATCCATTTCCAATTGGTATCCTCTACCGAGCAATATGTCATATTCACCAAAAAAATTCCATAAATTATTTTCCTAGTCATCTTTGCTTCAAGCTCTAACCGATCAACACTCAATCTAAAATTTATGGGCACTTGAAGGATTAACTCTATAAGATGCTTACCAAAATATTTCTCAAGCTGAGTAACATTCCATGAGCCATCACAAATAAAACCATTAACCCCATAGCCAACCTCTTTAAAATCTGCAACAAAGGTCAGACATTTCATTAAACTCCTATCAAGGATCCATACATCATTAAAAATATTAATTGATTTTCCATCGGCAATTTCCCATCTAACACTATAACGCAAGGACAAAGCTCCTTTCATAATAATTTTCCAAGTATTTGAACTTCCCTTTTTGAATTGAGCATTCCCAATATCACTACCATACTTAGCCTTCAAATTTTGGTTTAGAAGAGAACCTGGGTTTTCAATGAAGTTCCAAGCAAATTTTACTCGAATTGAACCAACTTTAGAAGCAGATGAATGAAGCCCATGACCAGCTTGACTCTTCGGTTTACAAAGAACATCCCAAGCCATATAGTGAAGGCCAAATTTACCATCCTTCTTATGCCAAATAAAGCATCTACACATCCCATCAATTTCATAAAGAACTCCCATATGAACAAGAGAATGAGTGGCTGAAAAAATTGGAATAGAAAGCAAAACAGATTTGACCAGTACCATGCGTTCCTCTAAAGAAATAAACTTGTTAGACCAAGTATTCAACTTGGATAGAACTCTCTCCAGCATAACCTAAAAATCTGCCGCAACATGCATTCTCTAAGCTATTTTGACTCCTAAATAATTCAACTCCTTAAATACTTTGAAATCCAACTCACGGGAAATTGCCTTTTTCTTTTTCAAATTCACAGCTTTAACCATCAAAATGGCAGATATCTGCATATTGATCAATTGCCCCAACCATTTGCAATAATTAGAAAGAATATATTTAATTTTCTTCACCTATTTAGTCTTAACTTCAGAAAATATAAAAATATCATCTACAAAAAGGAGATGAGAGATCTTAAGGGCATTATGAGCAATTCTAATACCAAGATTATCTCCTTTATGTTTGAATGCGTCAGATAAAAGTTGGGAACACGTAATGAACAAATAAGAAGACAAGGGATATCCTTGTCGAAAACCACCTTTAGCTTCAATCAAATTGGAATTATAGCCATTAACCAATAAAGAATATTTAGGATTCACTACTCATTCTAAAAGCAAATCTAAAAACTTAGGAGGAAAATTAAAATAACTCAGAGCTTATACTTATTTTTTTGGTATAGGATTACTTTCCTTTTCTTACGTTATTTTGTAACCATTGTTTTTTAATATATGGGCATTGGCCCATACTTTCCAAAAAAACAAAAAAAATGTTGCTGTGTCGGCGTTCAACTTTTCGAAATAAAATAAAAGGAAGTTGCAGGTGATGTCGACGTGGCGATCCCGCCTAGTTTGTTGGCGCTAGCGGCTAACTCTTGCGTGCCAACGACAGTACTGATGAAGGGTTCCAGTATCGAACCTTCAAATTACAAAAACAGGCAGACGTTGAGAATGAGAATCGCCACATTGGCCGCCGGCGCCGTTACCTCTTCTCCTAAGATTCCTGATTCGCTTGCAATTTTCTCCATTTCCAAACCTCGAGGCGAGCTGTGTCCTTGCATATCGCGTGCCCTAGGGAGGGCAAGACCCTCGCTCTACTAATATCTTTTCAGCGAGATATGGAAGGGGACAGTGACGCTGCCGGAAGGTTATCAAGGATTTCGCCACCCCTCTCATCGGTTAGTCCTCCTATCACCTCCCTTCCTCAGCCGCAGCCAAATTCAGCGCCGACCGCGAAGCAGCGGCGGATGTTCACAGTTGATTTGAGACCAGGGGAGACCACTGTTGTTTCCTGGAAGAAACTTATTAAGGAGTCTGGCTCTGGAAACGGGGAAGACCTTGCCACGATGGAAAGTAAACCGGCGCTTGAGGCCGGACCAGTCGCTGGGGTAGGCTTGTCACATCGAATTTTGTCGTTTTTCGCGTTTATGATTGTTCTAATGACGTCTAGCCCCGCATTTTTTTTTGGGAAATTTAGCCCCGCATTTTTATCTCTATTGTTTATTACGGCGTTTTTATCCAATTGGCTTGTGTCTTCTGGAAGCCCGACGACAGAGGCTTCCATGGTAATTCCGCTTTGTTGTTATGCTTCAGACTGCTGAATTCAATCAAGGATTGGGTTCATTTGATTGCTTGTCAATATAATTAGTTTTTTGCTCATATTGTGTCTGAAATTGAAATCATCACACTTGAAGAGTAAATCATTTCATTTGAGTTTGCACAGTGCAAAATGAATTTTGATTTCTAACTTAGTATAAGATTAATGACGGAATCTAGTTAATTGACCTTTTTCAGAACATGATTTCCAACAGCTAGCAACTTTGTACGAAAATCCGACGCGCAATCAGATAAGAGAGAGGGTCTAACATTTATGAGACACCAAGATTTTTACGTGGAAAACTCCTGAAAAGTGGGAAAAACCACGGGGCCTAGCCCAGTTTGAATGAATCCACTAATATTGCAGTCGATTACAAACGAGGCTCTTCTGGGAGAAGGCCTTAGCTTGATGTACATTTTATAGAGTACATTACATAATGTGAATACAAAGAATCACTATTGACATGTTCATTTGGTCGGGAGGACTGTAGTCGGTGGGCGACGGAGGTCGGAAGGCTTGTAATCGGTTGGCGACGTAAGTCAGAAGGACCGTAGTCGGCTGGCGACGGAGGTTGAAAGGACTGTAGTCCGCCGGTGACGTAAGTTAGGAGGACCGTAGTCGGCGGGCGACAGAGGTTAGAAAGACAGTTGTCTTGCGACGGAGGCTGGAAGGACTGTGTCTGACAATGAAGATCAGAAGGATGACGTCAGGTAGAAGTTCAACAATGGAAAGAAATCCATCTTCAGATATACGTCGAGCGAAAGTCTGGTAACCGGTAGAAGTCCGGCGTCGGGTAGAAACTCGGCGAAGAGTGAAGACCAGGTGTCGGGTAGAAGTCCGACGTCTGTTGGTAGACGAGGAGAACTCCGACATCACTTGGGCGGAGTTTCGGCATCAGGAGGGAACTCTATCGTTAATTGAGAAGAATTTTCGCATCCCATGGAAGTTGGGCAGAATTCTGGCATTCTCCCGAATATCCGGCAGAATTCCGACGTGTTCGAGCGGCGGGAAGAACTCTGGTGGTGGTCGAGGAGGAGCTGATTCTCCTTCCCCTTCTCTTCTTCTTCTTCTCTTCTTCTTCTTGCTTCTTCTCCCTCCGGCCCCCTCTAATGAGAAATGAGGGCTCTATTTATAGATTTTCTGGAGTGGCATGGCTCGTAAATAGGCGTGAGATCAGGGGGCGAATAGGGAGTGGTCGAATGGACGGCCGATATTGAACCCTTCGATCGTGCACCGTTCGTTGGAATTTGAAGGTCTTAGTGATGTCGGAATTCGGCGATCTTGGGCTCGTTGGATTCGTCTCGTCAGGCCACTCGATTCGAGTATAAGCTCGTTAAAATCGGAGACCGTTTGGTAACTCAAATTATGGTTTGAACCTTCCAATAGCGCTTCGGGTCCTTGATTTGGACCCATTTGGGCTCGGATTGGGTTGAATTTGGTGTCATTGGGTTCGTATTTCTGAGACACTTAGTTTGACTGTAAGTTTGCTAAAATCGGAGTTCAGATGATCCCAGATTTAATTTTTGAAGTTTCCGGTTAGCTTTTTGCCTCGAGATTCGTGCCCGATCAAGCTAATTTTTGCATGACGTATCAAATACAATGGTGTAATCGGGTAAAAACGTGAGCTGCGACATAAATTTGCAATAATCATAACTATCCCCTAAAAAGCTATAGAACGAAGGGAAAACTAGACTCAAAATGAGTCAAAAAGGTTACTCCAAGAAGCGAAGAAGATGCAAAACTGACAACCTACAGTAGCTCTGATTGCCAATCCGACCATCTATAGTGATAAGCTCCGGTACATGCATTGGAATAGAGAAAGGCAAAAGAGAAAAACCAGAAAAAGAGAAGGTAGCTACAGAAATCTCATACATGTGTATTTGGTAACCTGTATTACAATATATAATATGCTTAGATTAATCATATGGTTCTTAGTGAGTGACAGATCAATGGTTGATATTGTGATAGTACAAAAGTTTGTTATAGTGCAGGATGGTGGAGCAGCACTGCCACATGTGGCTATTTGATTTGTCCGCTAATACCGCTCTTCAAGTTGACAATGGTTGAAGAATTGTTAACTTGGACCGTAATTGTTGAAATCTGGTGAAGGATAAGGGCTTGGTGAATATATATGCCGGTTGATCCTGGGATGAGATATGATGAGTTTAGTGTGCTGAGCTTTAATGCAATCACGAATGAAGTGGCAGTCAACTTCAATGTTTTAGTGCGAGCATGGAACATCATGTTATTTGCAAGAGCAAGTGCCGAGACATTGTTGCAATAGATTGGAGTTTGGGAGGAAATAGGAATGCAAAATTCTTTGAGAAGGCGACGGAGCCAAATAACATCACTTGCAATGGCTGCTAATGGTCGATATGCAGCTTCTATTGAGGATCGAGATACTGTGGGCTGCTTCTTAACTAACAAAGATAATAGGTTAGCTCCAAGAAAAACACAAAAAGCAAAAATGGATTTTCGATTAGACGGATTGGCCGTCCAGTCTGAATCAGCATATGCATGAGTTGTAAATCTGTGGCGGTGATCGATAGAGCAAATGAAATTGTCCCACTGAGATATCGAAGTACCCGCTTGAGATGTTGGAAATGAATATTGTGCAGTGTATGCATATATTGGCAGAGATAATTTACTGCAAATGCAATGCCCGGTCTGGATATGGTAACATATTGGAGGGAGACGACTAATTGCTTATACTGGTCTGCTTGTGGAAATAAGGAGGACTTATCATCTGGAGCTGCTAGCTTGGAAGGAAACGGATTAAGAGTGGAATTACAATGGAGCATGCCCGCTTTATTGAATAGTTTGGCAATATAGTGGGACTGTCATAGAAGTAGGCCATGTTTAGTTGTAGAAATTTGAATTCCTAGGAAATAAGAAACAATACCCAGATTGCGCATGATAAATGAGGAATTCAAATTTTGTAGCAGATTGTTAATCGCAACAATATCGTTTCCAGTGAGCAGAGGATCATCAACATAGACTAGTAGATAGACAGAAACCGAACCTTGATGAAACATAAGCAGGGACGGGTCTGCTTGGCTTTGAATGAAGCCATATTTCTGTAAAAGAAATGAGAAGGTGGAGAACCATTGATGCGGCGACTACTTGAGTCCATAGATCGCTTTATGCAGTCGACATATATGATTGGGGTATTGAGGATCTTGGAATCCTGGTGGTTGCAGCATAAAGACATGCTCATCTAAGTTGCCATGCAAGAAAGCATTAGAGACATCCAAGTGATAGATTGGCCAATGAAACGAAGTGGCAGCAACAAGTAATAGTTGGATGGTAGGAAACTTAGTGACTGGGCTAAATGTATCTATATAATCTACCCCAAATTGTTGTTTAAACTCTTGTGCCATAAGTCTTGCTTTGTGGCGAGATATAGTGCCATCCACATTATACTTTGTTTGATACAGTCATTTACAACCAAGGCATTATGTTTTGGGTTTGCTGGAATAAGTGACCAGGGCCTTATTTTAATAATGCTTGAAATTCGGCTGACATTGCAGCTCGCCAAACATGGTGTTTATTCGCTTCTGTGAAATATGTGGGGGATAATGGTACGAGAGTGTGATGTAGATCAAATACTTGTTTGGGTTTTAAGTGTCCAATTTGCTCTAAGGGTAACCATAGGATGACGGGTGATACTTTGTAATGGGGCTATTGGAGGAGTTAGAGAGGATGATTGCAGCTCGCCAAACATGGTGTTTATTCGCTTCTGTGAAATATGTGGGGGATAGTGGTACGAGAGTGTGATGTAGATCAAATACTTGTTTGGGTTTTAAGTGTCCAATTTGCTCTAAGGTTAACCATAGGATGACGGGTGATACTTTGTAATGGGGCTATTGGAGGAGTTAGAGAGGATGATTGATGCGACAAAATAATAACGCAAAAAAAAAAAACACAACCTTCCTTTCTTAAAACATTGATAAACATAAACAATATAACAATAATATTAAAACAGAGGAACACTACAACTTATGAAAACATAAGAAGAAGGATACAATGGAAGGGAAACTTGTGGAGAGAAGAAATAGATAGAAGTCTTAAAGGAAGAAATAGGCATAAGAAGAAGCTCTCAAGCTTAGGAAGAACCCTCAGGTTCTTAGAGACAAATATCAAACTTCAACAACGTCCCAACAGCAGCTAACATCTCATTTAAATAGGGGAAAGAAGTTTAAAAGACACCCAAAGCAGCCGCCCCATTCAGCCAACCAGAACAGAGGAAAAACCCAAAAGAAAAGGCATGGCAGAACCACAAATCGAGCAGCCATGCCCCCTTAAAAGACCAGCCAGAATCAGAACAACTAGGAGCCGAACATACACCAAGAAAGGAGCACGGCATCTCAGGAACTAAGCAACCATTTGCTCTAAAAAATAGCCCCTTATCAGCCACAACTCTCCAATCACCAAACAACCAAAGAAACATGGGCCAAGCCCATTTAGATGAATTTCAACCCAACAATAATTACCCAAGAAAATCCATCCAATGAAGAGTCGATGATGCACTCCATTTTTTGCTTGGGTTGTACAGATATCCACAGCATCATTAGGAACAGTAAGGGGCAAAGTCTCACACAACTGTTGCTTTTAGCAGTGCTTGTTAATATCTTTTCAACAATTGTAAGATTTTTCTCAAAATGAGATTTTTCATGATATGTGGTTGAACCAACTCTTTTAAAAAGCTCAACATCTTTTGATAAATTACTGCTAACCAAAGTATACTTGTCAAGGAAAATAATTGATGATAAATCTTTACTTAACGCAGCT